TTTTTACGCAAACCTACAAATTTTTCATGCTCAAATTAACAGCTATGGGGGCCGTCAGGGCAAAAGAGGAGGCCTATATAGACCAGATAGAAATTAATGTCTCAAACAATGTGTAAGATGAAATGCTGTAAAATGTATTTAATGTAAAAAAAATGTAACACAAGTACACATTTCTATAAAAAATTATCAGTTTTCATTTGTATCTGTACAGAAAGTACTTGTACTATAGTACATTTTTTATTCAATAAAGATGGAGCTATTTTTTCGGGGGGGGGGCAACACAATTTTGTGCTTGGGGCCCCGCACTACTTAAATCCGGCCATGGGCTGTCAGAAGCAGTTGTAATACAGAAGGATGGAAATTGCGTCTGGTGGTAAGTGCTAAAAAATTACGTGTGTCATCTAGAAAAACCATGTTGATATTTGTAGAGAACTTGGCAGATTACGCATTGCAACGGCAGAATATAATGTTCCACAAATGCCAGAGAAGGCAAGAAAGAAGAAAAGAAAAACTCAGGCTGGTCTAAAAGATAGTGAAACCTGTTATTACGATGTAGGTTGCCTTAGGTACTGGCTAGCGAAAAATATTCTAAATTTTCCTAACATATTCTTCTCTGAAAACTGTGATGGCCATTTTCTCAGAAGTTAAAGTTTTCAAAAGTTTGTCTCATTCTCTCGGAAACCATTCAAGATATATACGTCTGAAATTTTCAGTGATAAACCATGTTATACTAAGAATGCCTATCCTCAACCATGATTATTACTTTTCTAGTCCATGAGTTAGGAATTTTTTTGAAGATTTTTTGAGACAAATCTATTTTTGAAAGTATATAAATTCTGAATAGAAATCCAAACTCAACTCAGATCCAGTGATCTCTTCATGCATCACTTAATAGGTAGTACAGAATTCATTACATTTATTGAGTAGTTTCTGAGAAAATGAGTCAAAAAGTCACTTGTTTTAACATTGTTGGGATAGGGCCTATAATCTCATCTTAAATTGCACTAGGAGACAACTTCTCTTCGCGGTGAAAGTAACTTGACTCGATCTGCTATGACTTGATTTGCTTCCATTTTCTATTTGTCAAGTATTTAGCCATGTCTGTAGTTTGTTGAGATGTTCCAGAAGCAATCTAGAAGCCCCTACTGGTTCACCGTATGAAGCTATAGATGGTGTATCGTCATCAAATGTAGCCGTTACTGTTCCTTACATTCGATAGTAGGCAAGTCAGAAGTGCATAGTAGATATAGAACTGGACCCATTACACTTCCTTGGGGGACGTCCGACAAGATAGATTAAAAGAGAGAGCTCATTTTTACGCTCACGTTGGAAGATTGTATTATATAGGACTTAATAAGACATAATAAGGTTATTCAAGACGTTTCTTGAGTTTGTACGTACCCTGTTATGCCATTTTTGCCGAATGCTTGGATTATGTCTAGATGCGCAGCCAACCAATATTACTTTTCTTCCAGATTTTTCCTTATTATGTTTACCACCCTCTTCACTTGCTCGACAGTAGATTGCTTTCTTCGTAATCGCAATTGATGTTCAGTATTCAGTCTTATAGTTTTGGGTGCAGTTTCAGCAGGAGCAGTTTTACAAAGGCTGTAGAGAGGATATGCAGCAAGCTAATTTGGTTTATAGGATGTGGTTTCTTGAGAAGGTTTTCCGGCTTTGAGGAAAAACATCTGAACGTATTTCCACGATTGTGGGAAATACTGTAGGCGCAATATTGTGTTAAATGTTGAAGTGACGAGAGTTATTGCTCGGCGAGGTACGTTCTATGTTATGCTGCCAATAATTAAATCATAACCAGATGCTTCATTAGGTTAGACAGTTCTGAAGACACTCTTTATATACTTGGCAGTAAACGAGGCCATCGGTGGGTGATGAGACATCTGCAGAGGTGCGACTAAATATATTATATATTCTTCGTAAATAACTGTTTGCTTTGGGATCACTTTCTGGAGAAGGTTAAAACGTTATTTAAATGGTGAGAAACGCAATCACGTTTTGATGATACGATTTTGCCAAATCCCGGCGTATCTGATCGGTGGAAAAGCCGTTTTTGGTCGTTGAAGTATTTTTCTAACCTTTTAGAGCAAGTTTTATTAGTTGCATAGGAAGTAGTACTATTTAAATACCTTTGTAATTAAATATAATTATATTCCTTTAATACTCTTCTAAGTTTCTAGGTAACAACATTCAAACTATTTTTGATTTCAATTGTTCTGTTATTTTGCCAAATTCTTCGTAAACATCTTTTTAGAGCTATATTTTCTTTTAAGTATTGTGGGTGTGCATTTGTTTTTTAACTGTTTCCGGTAAAGAATTCCAAACTGCTTTGGTATACAATCTGTTACATATTTGAAAGCAGTATATCATCATTCGTTTTCAATGGGACATTTATTGTACCATTCTAATTAATACATCTGAAGTTAGAATAACTTCCAATTGGTGTGCCTATTCGACAAGGTAGGAAACTAATTCGATGTTACATGCGGCGAAAGTCATTATAACATGACAGTGGTCAAAACTAAAATCAGGACACTGTTGAATATTGAAATGAGATTAGGACATACCTTTAGTAATGAATTTTTAAGAGACATGGAATTTTATTTGTATCTTTGGGCCAGTATGTTTGTTCGCCACTAGATAGAACGTTGCAATGTGCATTTTCAATCGCTTGTAGGAGTTCACTGTCTCTCTGTGAATTCCCCATTGTCGATGCTTGGCACTAAGATCTCGGCCAATAATAAATCTAAATCCTAATGAGCAGACGAAATGAATGAAGTCACCCCTATGTGAGTCTGTACTTTGACGGAGAGACTCTCAAATGCCCAGATTTTTTGGTTTAATTGACTAACGTTGTTGCGAGTAAACATTGTCAATAATAAATAAGAGAAATAATATTAATTTTTAGTTTACTTTTAAAATAATGTTTTATTAACGGTTCATCAAGTCAGAATCTATTAATTAAAAAGGGTTAAGACGTCAAACGTTTCATCACCTGTTATGTAAACATCAGTACGACACGTTAAACGGTACTGGAAGCAACAAAAAACCACACAAAATTAATATATTTGAGAAAATACCAGCATTTATCTTTCAGACAATTCAATAAATAAACAAATAAAAACAATCCAAACCTACCTCAAATATACATAAACATTACTAATCATTAACACTCAACAGCATGAGATTCTCAGATTTAAGTTATGGTGCAACAAAAGGGCCGCCAGCAGTAAGCTAGTGTATGATACACAGCATTTAGTAATTGTAAATTGAATTTACAACAGAGAGGCACGCCTTACGTACCACATTCGCCTGATGACATCCCTACAACGTATTTTTTTCATGAATTTAAACTTAAAATCCCCGAAAGAATTCCGCCGAACGGGTAGCTAATAAATAAAAAAAGCACATTTTACATTGGCAAATGAACTACAGATTTGACTGTGTAGTATTCTTGATAACGTACCGCTCCCCTTTCCCTTCCCTCCCCAACCATGCAAAATCAGATCATAACAAATAGTGGGTCTAGTGAAGCGATATTTACAGTCTAGAAAAAGGTAGCGCGTCAACTCAGCATTTATTCAATTGATCACGAACAAACAACCTATTCAAGTTGGCGGTCATTGATCCAAAATATAATACTTGTTACATACTTGTTACATTTTATTTTGCACTACAGATAGAATGCTTTCAATTTCCTGTTAATTATTCTTATTATTGTCTTACATTGTTATTATTGCGTATTATTGTAGTAAAACCCGGCAACGCCATGTTACTTCATCGAATACATCAAACAAACTCGTTTTCCTTTTTTGTGAGGTTTTTATCGCCCTGTATTCCTTCCCGCGAAAAATTACCGAAACGGTACTTACTCTCGGTAGATGAAAATTTTCTCTCGATAGTTAATGTGTATGTCCCCTCAAATTTCTGAACCCATATCAGCTTTTTAGTGTAGTGGCTACTGATAAAGTACTGTCTACAATTTAATTTGTTGTGTTATCTTTCGCACTCTGCAGCACGTGGTAGAGATAGCGACAAGTCATGTATGGTCTGGAGTGATGAAACTCCCAGCTTTCAAGCGCATCAGGATACGCAGAACGTATTTCATATGTTTTGCAATAATCGTCACCTTTAACATTGGGTTTGTAGGATCTTTCCTGCGTAAGTATTGCAAGTCCACTAAAAAATTAAGTCTATTTTTCATCACGGTCCGTATCATCACTGACCAATTAAAAAAAACTACGTAGGATTGAGTACTTAAACACATTAATACCGAATAACATATGTAACTAATGATGCTAGAACAACTTATAACTGCTCGTGTCATATGTTATTCATTAGTAATTTTATAATAATGCAAATTTTATCCTACTAAATATGTCAGCCATATTTTGAAAAACTCTTACCGTTTAACAATGCGCAGGAGATTAACACGATATAATTCTTGGACATCATAAGTTTTAATGAAAATGATACTTTGCCATTGAATTAAGCGAGTTGCTTTTTATACATCCCACAAGTTAAAAAAAATTATCTTCTGTTCTTTCCATTGATGAAGTCACATATCCGTACGCTAACATTTTTAAACTAAGGGCAATATATTTGTAGAATAACCTCTTAATTTTCTCAAAATAGTTGCTTTATCATTCTCTTACATGTAGAAGACGATGGAAGCTGATTTTATTTACGTACAATAAATAACCTAAAACATTTTATATATAAATTTAATTACGCTCCCTTAGAGCAGTTCTATAGAGCATCATTCTAGAAAACGGAGGAATATATTCTGACGACTTTTAAATATCTCTCTCTATAATAGATATAATAGTAAGACAAAATTTATATTTTAAGAGGGAATTTATCTTGACATCTTTAGATACTCTAAGTAAAATACAGAGCAATGCGAATAATTTTCTTCAGTAGAGCTGAATTATTTGTCGATTTTAAGAATCTCTCCATGAATACGCTGGTGTGTTGCAGTGGTGGGCTACAACGGCGAAGGCACAACTGTCAAAGTTGCCTCCTGCCCTTTGATCACCGGCGGCAAGTGCCCAGATCCAAGAGTTACCTTCTATTTATACACCCCGTAAGTATTACTATAAACTAAACTCTGCTTAGTACAGTGCAACTTGATGTTCTCTACTACAAAAGGCACCAGTGGTGCACATGCTTTTTTACATTATTTGTAACATTTTGAATTTTTGGAAATTAAGAAAGATCAACGAATATATACCAGCACTTTTTTGAGCGCCCTTTGCTCTATCCGAGGAACAAAATTGGAGCTGTATTTTAGAAAACATTTTTTAATAAATTGCTTTTAAATTCAACAACTAGTGGTTTGTCTGTACGTAAAATCTCTGGTCATTTAAATTAAAAAAAATATTGATTGCCGTTATATTTAAATTTGGACACATTCTTATGATATCTGTAAATTACAGGCTCAATCCCACTCTCCCGGAGAAGATCGAATACACGGAGAAGTCAAGCAACCTCCTGCAGTTAAATTTTAACACTTCGCTCCCTACGAAAATTTTTACTCATGGATACAACTCGGGGAAGTTCATCTTCGATCATCTTCGGAGAGGTATGTTCCATAAATATCACCAGTGTATTAAAACAATCATCCAAGTTTTAGTTTCACTTAATTTTCCTTAGATATAAATGAAGCGTACTTTTCTGCACAACAACTTAACAATAAATTGAATCTCTAATTTTTATCACAGGTAATACCTCGAGAGCGTTGTAAAATTGTCGATAAATTCCATACTCGCGAAGCAAGGAGAATATTTATCTGAGAAATTTCAAAGCACGTGTGATATTTAAAAGAACTGTTCCACGAGTGAAATTATGTCCAACAGTTCCAAAATGAGTCAAATATCGAAAATAACTGAAAGCGTATGTTAAAATCAGAGGTTATGTTGTAGTACATACGCTGTTTATTGGACATCAACGTAACGATCAATGTATAATGCCTCCTAAGATAGACAAGTCACAGTTTATGAATGTCCAATTGGTAGAAGCAGTAATCAAAATCGGATACAAAAAGCGATAAACTTTTTAAGATACACTGCCCTGATTGGGGCATTTCGTATGTATAGTTAAACACTATTGGTTTTAATTTCACGAGTGGAATAGTCATTATGATTTAATCTTGTGTTACATTCTTGATAATAGAAGGGCCAATGAGAGAAAATTATAACTAGGGTTACTATACGTTCGTGATTAAATAGCTCTGAGATGGCAACGTCGACCGTAAGGATTTCTAGGGGAGTCCGTCAGCAAAACTATTCGAATGACAAAAATTGGTGTTTCCAGCTACATTAACTCTGGTCACAAGTCCTCTCGGGAGGTTGTCGTGATCCCCCCTCGGTATATCATGAGATAGGGCGCCGACCTACACGTCGGCTGGCGGGAGTTTCCCCATTCAGGTACCTCCGACAATGAAGCACCGCCTTAGCCAAGTTCTAATTTCTCTATTATTATCCAAAGATGTGAGGTAGTTTAGTGCATGTAATTGCAAATGTGTATGTGTGTGTAAGAGGAAAGGAGAACGCACGAATGAGAAAGAACAGATAGAGGGCGTTCGTAGCCCGTTTGTCAGGGTACTGTTCTGGCATTATTGATTGGTGAAACCTCGGAAAATACAGATCAACGCAGCTGTCCGCTAGAATTCTTTTTACGGCATCTGAATTTGACCTTCGCGCTTTAACGGTGTAGTGCACAGATATCTGACGTAAACTTCAACAATACTGTAAAACCAAAAAAAAATATTTTATTAATTTCTGTAATGCTGAAGTGTGCATACTATATGGCCGACCACCAGTGAGTTCCTTCAAACAGTAACTCTTTCACAATGCACTTACCATTACGGATATATTGAACCTATTTCCTCATACTGTAAATCATTTTATCATGTGACATAGTTATTTGTTACTCAGATACCGAGAGAACACAAGCAACTAGAGAATATCTACGGCTGATGACACCAAAGATGGTGGTAATGATATCGGATATAGCCAGCATTTCTCAAATTATGAATCTGAAACATTTTTTTGTAACAGAGGAAAAACGCGATCCAAACACCCTGAATGGTACCCAAAGAGCAATTATTCTACTTTTTCACGCATATCGTATCTTCTCAGCTAACTACCAACCGAAGCAAACCCACCCTCTACTGTTAAACCCACGCCCGGTTGTTAAAACCTGTCAGTACTGAGTAGATCCACGTGGGCCTCTTACTCGTATTTCCGCCCTCTCCACAAAACGTGGACAGAATTTATTTCCTCATGCCACAGAAATAACTTCCTATGGTGAACTTAAATTACAAGTCAATACAAGTTTTAAATGAAAAGCTGGGGCCTCAGTAAAATTGGGGCAAGTTGCCCCATTCCCCCCTCCCTTCTGGGCGCCCATGAACCGTCGCCTCAGCCTTCGTGATGAAGATCATTGATTGAATGATTGTTGATTCGGGCGCGTCAACTGCTAAGGTCATTAGTTTCGTAAGTACAGTACATGTTTTTTTTCTTGGGAGCTGGTGGTCACCTTCCCCCCCCCTGGAAGGTGAGATCCGGCACTGACCTCCTGTCGGATAGCGGGGTTTTCCCCAACCAGGTATCTCCCACTAGCGATGCACCACCCCAACCGAGACAAGATCTTAGCGCCCGATCGGTCTCCCGGCATGTGTGGTAGTGTAGTGCTTGTAAATGCGAGTGTAAAGGGCGAGGATAGGAGGAGGAAGAGGAAGGAAGGATCGCGCACGATCCGTGGTCTCTTTGTTAGAGTAATGCTCTGGCATTCACCTGGTGTTGTTTGGAGAAACCACGAAAAACTACCCTTCAGAGCATCCGGCCGATAGTACACTCCTCAACAGCGACTGAACTCGACCTAGCTATCTAGTGTTGGAACTCGAACCCTAACACTCTCCCGGTGAACGGCACCGCAGTGACATTCTCTCCCAGTACGCGCTGAAGACCAATGGAAAGTGTCACAGCCCAGTTACAACGCGCTCTCCTTCGAAGTGGGCTAAACGACTTCCGCGTAACACAGCACTTGTTGATGGCCCGCTCAAGCCTCGCGCACAGTCAAGCCGGATGAGGAGAATTAAGGCAGAGGAGACAGAGCCCGCGAAGGCCACGGCTGTGTGGGAATTCGTCGCCTCCTCCCAGACGTCGCCACAGCACCAAGGCCAATTTAGTGGTTCCTGGAGCCAGTACGATCGGGGTACCGGGGTGAGGGGCAGTGAATGAGAAGAGTAGTGTGGGTTTCTAGGCGCGTCAACTAGCCCCGTGAGTGCCGGAAGTTCGAGCGTCCTGATCTCCCGGAAGCCCCGGCACACAGGGCAGAGCGATCGCCCTGACGACTTCGCGAGAACTTTTTTTCTACCGGTTCAATACACTAATTTTACAGTTTTTACAGAGAGCATAACTTAATACTAGAACAAGGTTAGGGCATAGGCAGGCGGAGATTTCATTTAGTCGAAGTTCCCTCTCACTTTGTTTCGCGAGAACAGAATGTGAATGAAATGTAATTAATCTGCTGTACAGATTTCTTCTCGAAATTATGGAAGAAAAGAATGTTATTATTTCAAAATCAACATTTCTTTTTAGCTTCTCGCTACGGAATAGAGAGAAAGTTATGTAAAACTGCGCAAAAAACGATGAATTTTTGGAGAAAAACGCTTATTACCAGAGAATGGTGCAGGACTCATGTTCGTTGAAAATCCTGATTATTTGAAAATTGCCAAAGTTTAAAATGTTTTCGAAATCTTCCTAATACTAAAATATTAAAGATAGAGATTTTCTCCTAATTAAATCTATTCCTTAAACATAGATTTTGAAGTAAGGGCATGTACAATTTTTCGATAATTTTAGCAGTTTTCACGTAATTTTGCCTGAAAATATACGCGAGGAAGTACGTGCTTGTCTGTCCACGGTAGCCTTCACTTTTCATTGCCATTGCAAATAAATTGTTCTCTTTGGTTTAACATTTCAACTTCGCTGTATCTTTAATTCGGCGTTGTACACTTGAACACTTAATTAAGTTCTGCTACGCTGTCAGCCTCCACACCACTCGTTGTGTATATTTCACGAATGTTCATTCCTGCCTGACGTATGGCATAATATTCTGAGGAAATACACCTTAACCCCGAGACTTTTAGAATACCAAAAAAAAAATTATACGAATAATAAGCAAACCCCACCCACGTGATCCTTGTAAGCCTCTCTTTATTATTCAAGGTATCTTACCATTACCTTGTCTCTTCATATATGAATCAGTGGTTTTTGTTAAATTGACTTACTTAAGGGCTAGAATATATTTTCAGCACACACTGATACCTATAACTACAATACTCGACGTGGTAATCATATTCATTAGGTAACAGTATCAACAGCTCTCTACAAAAAATTCACACACCATACATGTACATTATTCTACAACACTTTGCCAAATGACATGAAACGATTACACTCGATACAAAAGTTCAAGTCCCAAGTAAAATGTTTCTGCTGCACAACTGTTTCTAAACAAGATGAGGCTATACCGAGCATTCAAAAGGAAAGTAATATTAATTTTAACAACGATATTTAGGCATTATTTACCATTTGAATTGTATCATTCTAAAGACTCTGTAACAAGTATTGTACTTCATCTTCTGGGACAATGACTCCCATTTCGATCAGGTTTTCGTCCAGTTTTCCTGATCCTTCAGAAAATGCTGAGGTGGTCCCTTGTTTTGCTTCTGGACGTAAATGTAACGTCAATTTATTTTCTTCCCATAGCACGTCACACCAGTTTTCAACTGTTTTTGACTTAAAATCATGTATTTTTTGGCGGACCAAACGTCAGACTTTCTTTTTCGGCCAAGCACTTTTCTCTGAGGTCATGACGACGAGCAAAAACCGGTTATACCGGGATGCTATGTAGAGCATTTTGCATGCTATGTTGACTTGTGAGGGAATTCCACACCAGGTATCTCCTCCAGCGCTGCATCACGCCGGTCGGAAACTGTTCTCGTCTCCCGATATCTATGTAAATATAGCGCGCGCGCGTGTGTGTATGTATGTGTGTATGTATGTATGTGTGTATGTATGTATGTGTGTGTATATATGTATGTGTGTATATATGTATGTGTGTGTATGTATGTATGTGTGTGTATGTATGTATGTGTGTGTATGTATGTGTGTGTATGTATGTGTGTGTATGTATGTGTGTGTGTGTTTGCGTGGTTGCGCGTTTGGAAGGAGAGGCGATAGGTTAGGGAAGTGGAAGGTTAAATCGCGCACGCTCCGTTGGCATTTTGTTAGTGTACTGCTCCAGTATTCGCCTTGTATTAATCGGAGAAACCACGGAAAAATACCGATGAGAGCAGGCGGACATTAGAGTTGTTCGCCAGACAGCGGCTGAATAAAACCTAGTTGTACAGCTAGTGTGAAAAATCTGTTAAGTAACTGGAACTCTAAGACCTCCCAGTCAGAATCTCTGCATATTCAGCAGCAATGATCACTCTGAGCTAACTCAGTCGGTAAGTTGGAGTTCTAACAGAGTTTGAGTTCTAACATAGCACGTGCTGAGTTACCGCGATTAACCGACCTTGCTTATCGTTAAATAGGGCCTCTGGCATTCAGTATTAGCACGTGCGTGGTGGAGTTGCAAAACAAGACTCGGTACAATACCGAAGTAATTCGGAAAGTATGCGAATTCTTTAGCGTGCCTGTCTTCTTGTTCGTTTTAAGCCGGTGAAACTTTATTACTCTGGGAAACTTCGCGAGGAAGTATTCCAGCCTTCGTCGCGTGAACGTAAAAGTTTTTGGCGCTGGGACTTTTTGAGTTGCTTCGTATCGCTATCATGGCCTCCCGCCTTCAAGAACACGAGAAAGCAAATAGGTTGTGTTGGAATATTTGTATGCGCATAATTTTAGTCACAGATAAAAACTTCAAGTAACGAGAACGTATTCAAACATTCACTTCAAAATAATGACATATTGAATATTTTTGTTACACAGAAGCAAGGACACATCATGGATAACATTTACCGTACGTAACATATTTCCGATGTAATTGATAAGTGACAACGAGAGAGCAAAGTATTGACGCATTAGTTGGTACGTGATTATGGAACATATTCATACTATGACAAAAGTGTACCAATTCTGGTAATTTCACCGGCGATTTATTTCCTGAAATATTCTGTTACATTCCATACTTAAAACAAATAATTCAGAGATTATTGATTTCAGAAATATAATTCGTTTGGTGATGTGGTACAATGTACCAAAAATCACATGCCGCATTACTTATGCTAATAGACATCATTCAAGAATGATGTGTTTATTAAATATGTTAAACGTGATTCAGTCTATGAATGAGATTCAGAAAGTGATCGATGGTTACAAATTCACTATGTTCTTTAATTATCATTCTAATTGTGATAAATAATGTGTTATGGAACTCAGTAGTTTCATCAATTTAAGTTACACACTCATACCCATACTCATATTCTACCCGGTCCTGCTCAACACTCCAATCTACTCGTTTTTTTCTTCAGGAATAAAATTTCCCTTACCACCTTTAGATAATAACACAGTTCGCTAAACAACGTAGTATTCGTTTCATACTGTGGAATAAGCTGAATAAAATCACAACTAATAACGAAAACTCTCGAATTTTCAACATTATTGATCAACTTTCTAAGTATTTTTAATGGAACTCACCAAAGAAATTTGTCATATTTTATCAGCAAATTAACGAATCGAATGAACGCCAAATATGTTTTTAAATCCAGCGTTTGTCTGTCGCATTATTATCACAAAGAAAAACGTTATTTTGTACTTTGCATCGGATTAAACAGCTATTTGTATCCAGACTGCGGTATTGTCCCGTGCAGGCCAGTTATTCGGGAATCTGATCGAATGCAATGAGGGAGAGGGATCGCATTTGACCACTTTGTCTATAATGGAACTTTTTGTCACCTTCCAAGTTGAAAATATAAAATCTTACTTAAACTAAAACACTCAGCAATAATTGTATTTCTACATAAAATAATTAAAATTTTTGGAATTCGTACTTATTTTAAAAGTAACAAGTGCCTTACAATTTTATATTGCCAAGTGTTATCAGTTTCTTTCGCATGTATTTTTCTACAATCAGCCCTCGTTATCCAGAACGTTATGAATGTTCATTGCTTGTTTTCAAATGTATAATTTTCATGAATTATTACATGCTTTAGGTAAAAATAGAACATTTTAAAAATGCCCAAAAATCATTCAAAATAAATTAATTCCAATGTTTCTGCGATAAACACTCCAATATCCGCTAGCAAGCGACCACAGACATACGACACGTTTTTGCCGGTAATCGATTTTTCTGTATTAAGAAGCCACAAAACATGGATCCTGACTGCACAATGTGTTAGAGGAAGTAATTTACTGGATATAGGAACAAGATTTATCACATTTTGTATATAATAGCCCTACAACTAGTTACTCTGACGGAAAATCATCACTTTTCGTTGCATCATGACTAAAATTTCTCTTTACTACGTAAGTGCGTAGAATTCGAAAAATTAAAATAGCATCCTGCTCTATAGAAATACCTCGTGCGATACCTGGTATTTTAATGAAAATAATATTACGTATTACGCGAGGTGATATGTTGCTGTTCATTCTTTTTCTCTCTCAGAAATTACTTCATAGTGAGGGATTAACGGCGATGTAAAATGAGTTTAATTCAAAATTTTACTTATTAAGTAAGTTCTGTGATTATTATAATTTACAAACAGCGGCGCAATGTTTCATTGTCAACCAGTTACTGACCACCAGAGCCCGGGTTCTACCCGGGCTGAGGGGCGTGGATTTTCGGAGAGCGGAAAATCCAGTGCCAATTCTAATACATCATGAAAACAACTTTGGCTAAATATCCAACAAAATTATGTTCTCCGAAAAGTTCGTCATAATCAGATTCCACATTCACTTCGCAGGAAACGTATGAAGTAATGGATGACTATTTCTGACACCATTGTTGTGGCGTGCACTTGAGGTAAATATGGGAGCGAAAATTTAACGGCAACGCCGGGAGCCATAAAACTCCCAGTAATTTCAAATCATGTCTGGGAGGGACAATGAATTAATCTCCAAGGGCATTGCCCAGACATTACAACAAACCAGGTTACAATTTCTTGTCTTTTAAATACAGTTTTACGAATATAAGCAAAAGCTGTAAGAATAGCAACATTTTAAAGATTTATTTTTTTGCAATTTTTTCTGTGAAGCCGACACTTCTGGTTTCAAACCTAATATTCCATTTCAGCACCTCAAGAAACATATATAACTGATGAGAAATAACTTTCGCAACATGTGACTGGGCTACATGCACGTTTTATAAACCGGGAATGTGAATACATATACCCAACCATGTACATGAAGTGAAATATGAAACAACAATCTTTTGAACTAGGGTGCTAAGCTCCTCTCGCCTTAGTGCTTAGAATTCTCGAAACAGTAATGTATTTTCAGATAGTCACAAAAGAATTTGTTATCTTAAGACCCAGTACTTAGCTTAAGGGTTAATTAAGTATAGATTACTAGACATAGCGTATGTTGTACAACTGAACAATACATTTTATGCGTTGACCAAAAGGTCCGAGATTTCTTGTCCAGACGGCGGCTGATTTCGACTCTGGTAAGTCGAACTCACCAGTTGCATGGCGAGACTTTAGAGCTAGTCCCACTTGTAGCTATATTTCACCAGGGGGCTGCAAGCCGACTCGTTGGTCGGTGTCGGATATCACGTTCCAGCGGGGTAGGAACACCGCCATCTCCTGGGGTATAATAGTGTCTATAATTTTTTATGAAAATCGAATTAGTTAATAATCTAATAATATCGTATAATTAATTTTATTTGCATTGTGTCATTAAATGGCAGACTATAGTTTAATGCTAGTGATGTTCTCTCCGGCAGAGTACCTGGAGCGCGGCGACTACAATATCATCCTGCAGGACTGGGCGGACCTGGTGCCGAGCCCCTGCTATTTCACGGCGGCGCACAACACGCGCTTCGCGGGCCGCTGCCTCGCCGAGATTGGTGCGAGCGCGTGTGCGGCACCGTGCACGACGTGCACCTCGTCGCTTCAGCCTTGCGCGCACGTGCCCGCGTTCGCGGCCAACGACCTGCGGCCCCTGCCCCGTGCCGCGCATCACGGTACGAAGCACACGCGGCGAGCCCCCCCCGCCCCCCCCGCCTCACAACGCCGACTATCTCCTTTTCAGGCCTCCCCACAACTTCTGACTGTGCGTGTTCGACTTGACCCATCCCCACCTCAGCCCGACGCTCTGTCCGCGCTTCCGTCCGCCCCGTCCGCGCTCCCGTCCGCGCTCCCGTCCGCGCTCCCGTCCGCGCTCCCGTCCGCGCTCCCGTCCGCGCTCCCGTCCATGTAAGTCCAATTTTCACTAAAATATCGGAATTTTCTAAAATTAAAAAAACAAACATTTTTTTTAGAATCTCTTGTACATTTTAATTTTTGTAGCTTGATATTTTATCTTCATGTAATCAATATGTCAAAAATAGAACATTTTATGAACAGTTATTACAGAATAACAGTATTGTCCCGAAAGGTATAATTAACGCAGTGATTATTCCAAAAAAATAATTTTTCAAATTTCAAATTTTCTCATAAATGACTAATTTTTTCTTCACCATTTTGTGAGAACAGAAAAAAGTTGGACTGGATCACATCGTACAAGTTATATTTTCATTTAACATTTGAATTTTTTTAAATTACATCGAAGTGAGGTACGTGATCTCTATTCTCGGGGTGTAAAGAAGGACGTTATAAGGAAGGAACTCTATATTTCTTTTTTCACTGAAGTCATAAAAAAGTTAAAAATAAACGTGAAATTAAAAAAAAAGTGTAATGTCGAAATATACAGACGTAGCAAATAATTTCGGACATTTATTTAGCATTTCGATACGTGGCTTTATTGAACAAAGACATTCCCACGTAATGTTGTTACCAAATGTACTGTGAAATATCTTACAGGTGTGCTTTTTATAATTCAAAGTCTATTTTATAATTTTTAATTTCATATTTATCCATTTTTACTTGAAAAAGTTGCAATTAGAACGAGCCAATGTTTTTGGGTACATTGATGAATCCAAGAGGGAGCTATTGCCTCCTCCCATAGTCATTGTTTTTGTTGTTGTTTTTTGTAATTTCACTAAATTATCACGTAATGATTTAAATCTAGGGTGCATCGTCGGTGCATTTGCATTATGAATGCACATTTTATATTGCCAATATCATTCTTCTAAAATTTGGAGCCTAACTTAAAAAAAATTAGGAGTGGGGGGGTTCAAACTGGAATCGGCTCTATTGAAATACATCCGGGTCATCCCTAGGTATATATCGCTGCGGCGGTTTTGGAGGCGTATTTTTACCAAAACATTGATACATGGATAACTCGATACATCACCAAAAGTTTTTCGATGCCGATGAAAACGTCGACAAAACCATCGATGTTTAACATATCAATGTTTTGATATGTTAAAACAGAAGGTATTTTCCCATCCTGTTTCCATTTTTAATAAGAGTGCTAAAATGAAATACTGGTATACGTATTATTTAGTCATAAATTATATATTAATAATAATTTTTATCTAGTATAAAGAAGGAAGTAAAAAATAGAAGACATCGTGCTTTCCTATTATTCCATTTATTCACTTTCATTCATAAATCATAGAAATAAGACGTTCTGTATCAAAATAAGTAATTATTAGTTTAAAGTACAGTCTGCCTTAAAGCACTCCGTCATCTTAATTTTCTAAACTATTGTATACAATTTTCAAACTGCAGTTTACCACGCACAAAATCACCGAAAAACATAACATGAACATTCTTTTAAAACATTGATGTTTCTGGAAAAATATATCGATCTTAAAAAAAGAATCGAAAACAAAACATAACATATGGTAATATATAGATGTTTCCGGCGAGAAATAAAGATGTTTTTTCTTCCATCCCAAGCGTGGTGCCGTGACGCTCCTGCGACGCGCCGCGGCGCCTCCAACGCGCCTTATCACTCGCCGATAAAAGCCGCAAGCCCTGCGCGCCGCCCCCCTTAACGGCCTGCCGGCGACGCCAGCCAGCCGCGCGCTTTTTATGTCTGCTGTTACTGTACTCGGGCCGTTGAGACTTCAAGGCGGTATTGCTGACGAAGGGCCCCGCGATCGGGGACCGAACTGTTTCCTAATAAAGAGGATTATCGCTCTGTCTTTTAGATCAAGAACCACTAAACGTCGTGTACAAGATTTGGAGGGATCCATGTTTCGGCGACCGTCATGGAGTCCCTTCTACAATACGGAAAATACTTCTAGAATTTTAACCGGCAATTGGAAGAAAGTGGTCGTGTGTAGCTTGCATTGCGAGTGTGTGATCCATTAAGTAATTGGAGAAAAGCACGTAAACCAGATAGTTTAATCGGATGTAGATCTTGTAAATAGAACGGTTCAAAAATAAGACTCATTACCTCGGTTAAAATGAGTAGTGATATTATTGATACATACACCTAAAAATTGAATAAAAAACGAGTTTTATCAACAAATTATTAAAAAATATAAATAATTTACGTGAGGCACACAATCAGGCAGCAAGGGTCTCTCATTTTCTAGTACGTTAACCTCGTAAGCGATTAACCTCTCATTGAATTTATACACCAATGAAATAAATTTTAAATAATAGTTTATTTACGAAGTATGTTTTTCTAAATAGTGCCATTCATAGTCTTGGTACGAGTATTGAATACAATCTGGTATGAATATATTAAAATAACGCTAGTTTTTGTTAAGAACCGAACCTCAGAAATTAAATTTTGAATTCATAATTTCAATACATTTTCAACATTCATTCCCTGAGCTGTAAACTAAATCAATTACGATTTCTATGGATATAGTCAATGTGTTTAAAATATGGATATGGATATATTTTGTGTCGTAAATATGTTTTTCAACAATATTGGGAATGATTGATTTCCCAATACATTAATAAATCAAAGAAACACATTAAAGAGGAAAATATTAAACCACCTAATATATCTAAGAAGACAATAAGATTCGTGAATATTCGACGTCATCAATGTCGTCACATGTTCATTAATCAAAATACCCTGTAATAAAAACTGTCGTTTGTAGAATCAATGTCTCTTTCGGAGAATCAATGTCGTAGTAATCAATTGACACTTCAGCACTAACGATTTTAAAGTTATTCCAAGATCAAATTACAGACGCAGTGAAGTAAAATATTGAAATCGATAAATTGACTTGAAACTTTAATTAATCACAGAGGCTAATGTGACAAAGATCAAGATCGACGAAAATACAATTGAACTTTCACTATTCAATGACAATGTAAATTATCTGAGAAAAGTAGTACTAACGGATAATAAATGACTATGTAGATAATTTAGGTTGGAAGTCCCCCGTTATTTCTGGCAATGAATGCTAAATGTGAAGAGTTTTTTAGTAGAACAGTGTGCATAGCTTAGCATGTTGGTTAATGCCACGCCTCTTCACCTCACAACCCTTTTTCTAATATGCTCTTATGCGTTTTCCATATTTGCATGTTGGTTGACGGTTGCTTCCTGGCTGACATGGCATTGCAATGTGAGTTACGAGAAAAAATATTTGTGTTTTATTCAATTAATATTCATTAAATGCTTTCATTACAAAGGGGCTTCATACAGGCTTCATATTTATAGATTTACTTTCTTGAATAGGACAGCAGATACGACAATTTTGAAATGAAATATCCACGTTCATTTTTACGAAAAAAGAAACCCTTTTGATATAAAATTCTCAGTCACCTATAGGCTACACATATTCATCATGCATCTTTGGATTGATTGATTGTCAATTGGTATGGACATTAGTCCCGTAAGTGTAGTTGTCTTTTATCGTGGGGGAGGTGACGGTGACCTTATCCGGATGGTGAGATGCGCTGCTGACATATACGCCGGCTTGATGTGTTTTTTCCAACTAGGTACCTCCCACCCGCGGGGTACCTCCCACAGCCACAGCCGGCGAAGCTCTAAGCTGCCGACCGGTCTCCCGGCGAATGTAGTAGTGCAGAGCATGTAGTTGTAAGTGTGTGTAAGTAACGTAGAATGATAGGACAAGGAAGAGGAAGGGAAGATCGCATGCGGCCACTCTGGCTGGAACAAGTTCTTGGCGCCGACTCGTCTCTCGACATGTATGGTAGTGTAGTGCATGTGCATGTGCATGTGCATGTGCGAGAGAGAGAGAAAGAGATAGAGAGAGAAAGAGATAGAGATAGATAGAGAGAGAGAAAGAAAGAGAGAAAGAAAGAGAGAGAGAAAGAGAGAGAGAAAGAGAGAGAGAAGAGAGAGAAAAAGATAGAAGAGAGAAGAAGACAAGAAGAAAGAGGAGAAGAGAGAGAGAGAGAGAAGAAGAGAGAGAAAGAGAGAGAGAAAGACAAGAGAGAGAAAGAGAGATAGAAGAGAAGAGAAAGAAGCAGAGAAGAAAGAGAGGAAAGAGAAGAGAGAGAGAGAAGAGAGAAAGAAAGAGAGAGCAGAAAGAGAGAGAAAGAGAAAAGAGAGAAAGAGAGAGAGAGAAGGAGAGAGAGAAAGAGAAGAGAGAAGAGAGAGAGAACAAGAGAGAGAGAAAAGAAGAGAGAGAGAGAGAAGAGAGACGAGAAAAGAGAGAAAGAGAGAGAGAGAAAGCGAGAGAGAAAGAGAGAGAAGAAAGCAGAGAGAAAGAAGAGAAGAAGAGAGAAAGAGAGAAGAGAAGAGAAAGAGAAAGAGAAAAGAGAAGAAGAGCGAGAGAGAGAGAGAGAGAGAGAGAAAGAGAGAGAAACGATAGGTTGAATCACTGGAAGGACCGTTCGCGCACGGTCCTTGGCCCGTTTGTAATGGAATATCTTCGGCTTTCGCGTGACGTTCATCGGAATCCACGGAAAACTGCCGATCAGAGCAGCCGGCTGCTAGAGTTCTCCTCCAAACATTTGCTGAATTCTACCTCGCTATCGAGCTACGGTCGAAAATCCTGTCAGTATCACAATTTGCACAATTGTTGGCACAATTTGCAAAATCATGCCATACGATACCACAACGCGCCTGGAAAAGTCCAACCATTTGCAAATTGAATCTGAATTGCGCAAGGCCTGTGATGATAGTCCGTCGTTGTGGGGGTGCGGGGTGAGAGTGGATGTTAATAACAGGACGCGTCATAACGACGTATCATCTCAAAATGTCTACGCTTTGAACGGCGACGGCCTTTGCTTATCGCCCATAACATTTTGATAACCTTTGACTTCTTTTCCGTTTTCTTCTTCTGCTGCTGCTTGTTCTGCTACTACTGCATCTTCTTCCGCTGCTGTTTCTTTTTGGCCTGCTTCTGTTTCCTCCGATGCTTCTGCTCCTGCTTCTACTGCTTATTCTACTTCTTCTTCACCTCATCCAGCTGCTTCTCCTCCTTCATCTTCTGCTGCTTCTTCTTCAAAAACTTTCGACATTGGTATTTACAAAGTGAGGAATGTTCGCACGGGTTAAGAGCAAACTTTAAACATACACAAGGATACTGTACCTTTCCTTCCAGATTTACGAAAAAACTATTTGCAGTCACGTATTCTGCTTGCAGAGCTATACAATAAGACAGCCGTGTGGCCGCAGAAAACAAACAATTCAGCAACAAACTCTACAGAGAGTGCTTCTATCAGCGACCGTCCGTTACCGGTGGGCGTGCTGTTCCAACCCGCTGGTAGCACCTGCGTCATACATTGACGTCTTTTGACCTTCGTGACGAAATTATACAGACCTGGTCACATTTTATATTTCCGTTCATACACCCTCCTGATTATCGATAGGAAATGGTCTTTCGAAAAACTGGAAGAGGGATTTTTATCTTAAAATAGCAGTATCTGTAATCTTTACAAGAAAGTAGACCAATAATATATTATATTTGTGAAACTTTACGAGTGTGACATACTAAAAAAGCCGTAAATGTTATGAAAATGGAGTAAGTTCGTAGAAGTGAAATATCAACAAATACATTTTTATGACGTTCTCGTTTCGTATTTCTATGAGTAATTAGCATTAATAAGTGAAATGATAATTAAACGAATAAGCATTCGAATATTAATTTTTTTTTCCTTTCCTCGCGTATGCTTCAGGGCTTTACAATAATTAATTTTCTACAAGGTCTTTCTATTTTTTTCCTGTATCGACCACCATCTTCTGGGTCGTGTTTTTGGATTGCGAGTGTTGATGACCTCCGTAGCCCTCTAGGGCTCAACCCTTGGGTGCAATAACACAAAAACGTTGGCATTCAAGATGAGATATAACGGAGATGCGGGGGCGGAAGAGGAGCAAGAGAATGAGGTTGTGAAGGAACTTGACGGGAGATGGGAGACTGCACACGTGCCCTTAAAGTCTATCCGCTTAAACAAGGTCCCGAGGACAAAGAGGTCAAGGGCCTGTCTAACCCTTCGACGTGGAGCGCTATTGACGTTTCTATGCGGGCGGGCGGGCCATTAAATTTGAAAGCGTGTCCCCGGTGGGCTTTAAAACTCGCCAGACAGCTACTAAGGTCAAAGCCTTTCGTGTGTACGACATTACGGACCTCCGGGTAATTCCCTGCGGCGTCCGGGGTCTGTCAGAAGTCTCGGCTACGTTGGTTTTGAAATACGGGCGCGCTTCACAAGCAACAAAAAATGATGACTGCCCTTCTCTCCGAATGTTTGATTCGGGCCACAAAGTCGAAGAACTCCCTGTCGGCACATGGTTCCATATGAAAGAATGCGCACAGAGGATGGCAGAGAATGCGCACAGAGAATGTGTGTTCGGTGGTTTAACCGTTAGCGTATCAAGCGGCTATACCGAAGTTCTCGGGTTCAAACCCGATCGAAGCAGTGGGCGATAAATATTTTCGAGAACCTTCCTTCGGAGGGGAAGTAAAGTCGGATGTCCCATGTAGATTTACAGCATGTAAAATATCAAGACTAAGAAGCCTCTTAGAAAAATTACAATAGCTGATTTCGTCGCCAGAATGATACCTTTTTTCTAGGAGCATAGCAGAATTTGCGCTGTCAGGCGGAAAAGCAGGCCTAATGGCCTGAGTGTCGCCGCAGAAAATAAGGCATCAATTGAATTCAATTGATGACGATGTTGTTTGATGCATCTTCTATTTCAATGGCTATACTTTAACACGTCTCGAAATTTGGTCATTTTGTGATGAAAATGTAACTCGAATGTTCAGAACATCTACCGAAGTCCAGTGACATGGTAATATTACAGAAATTAACTGAGAATTTGTTAAAACTGACTGCAATCGATGCCTCTTTTATTACATTGTAATTGAAAATTTGCAGATTTTTTTCATTCTCTCTCCTTAAACGTTACAGAAAAACAAGGCAATATATGAGATATGTTTTTTTCAAATTTATCCAATTATTTTATTCTCAGTAATTCTAGTATTTTCAAGTACCAAGCAAATGCTCTAGTCGAAATATGAAATATTTCCAAATAAAAGAACCTTAAAATCTTTATATACCTTCCCTCTTTTAGGTACTATATTGTATATCAAAAAAGAAAACATCGGACGACAAAAGTCTTGACTACAAATTCTAAAACGAGGAGAAAATGGGACCTTTGGCAATATTGGTTGTTGCCATTTTTACTCGAATAAATTAAAGAACTGATTTTTTAAAGTCGGTATTCTGACGTTTAAAAATTCGCGAATAATAGAAACTAGAAAAATCTATACTTTTCTCTCTGTCCTTTGTGAACTATTCATAATTATGAAAAATATTTAAAATACTTATCTCATAAAATCACTTTTCTTTTTAACACGTGAGGCGGGGTAATTAGTCTTAGAATCTAAGTACATTCTACCCATGGGCAGTAAGGTTTCAAAAAACGACAGTAAAACCTAGAGCGGTTTTAAAAATTATTTAAAGGTGAGTTTTTAAGAAAATAAAGGTATCAAATTTTGAATTTAATTATTATTGATACTGGAACTCCTTTTTATATTAGAAATAGTTTGAATTTAATCTCATAGACCTTTAAAATACTACGCCATTAAAAAAGTTTTACAGTATTTAATAAATTTCTGTTAAAGAATTGTGTTTTCTAAATCTAGCAATTAGATTTATCCACTTTTTCTTTACCAGGGTTCTGTAAGAAAGGTTTTCTGTCGAAAATTCTCCGTTTTTCCGCGCTGCATTTCATAACTTTCTCTCTACAGCGAAATCGATAGCGAGAAAGTCAAAAGGATCGCGTCCGCCTGTTCCATTGCCTCTGTGCAGTCTCCAACCTCGTTTCGCAGGCCTGGACCCCGCCATGCCGCTGTTCGTGACGAGCAACCTCGACGAGAAACTGGACGCGTCGGACGCGCACTTCGTGGACGTCGTCCACACCAACGCGCTGGCGCAGGGCAAAGTGGAGCAGTGTGGCCACATCGACTTCTACATGAACGGCGGTATCACCCAGCCCGGCTGCTACGGGGAGTCTGGTAAGAAACGGTACTGGCGGTGGTGGTGGTGGTGGAGGAGGTGGGCGGCGGATGCAGCAAACGAGCGGGAAGTCGTAAAATGCGTATAAACCTCCAAGACGTCGATTTGGACAGGTGCCGGTTTGATAGATGGCGGTGGTCGTCACCAACGCTTGAAGCTTGCACCTCCACATGCGTATGCTGCGGAGATGTGTGTGTCACGTGATTGAGCGGGGCCGTATCAACAATCCCTGAGATATTTCGTGCGCCCTTTTCTTGAAATGAATCTTGATCTTCTAACGAAAACTTCAGTTTCAAAGTGACATGTAACTGATTTATTGTTATGTATTTCCCCAGTCTAAACGGAAAAACTGTGGAATCACAATAGTTCTTTCACAGGCACACCTGATCTCGGGGAAAATCATGCTCTATCACACCTCTAGAACATTCCACCAATACGATGTTGTGGCACCACATCTTATGATATATTAATAGTGCGTGAATACTCATAAAAATGTCCATTGCGCCCTCATCGAATTTGGTTACACGTTCAAACTTATGGTTGCAGATAAAATGTTTTTACTCTTGGCCCGTAGAAGAAATATTACTTCTGAACAAAACCACATAAAACCATTTTCCAAAAACTAGCACGCACACTGCTGAAGAACAAACAATAAAACACTCTCGTTTAACACAGCAATATTTTAAATATTTTAACAAAAACAATTTTCATCAATATTATAATATTATATAACACAAGTCAGAACCCAATATGTAAACAATTAAATCTATTAGGAGACTCGTTACTTCAGCGGAAAATTTTGAAAAAATATATGTAATTAACCCTGTAGCCGACTTTGATTTCCAATTAGAAGAAGAAGCGAACTTATCAATACCGCGATATTCCGTCCCAAGAAAAACTAAATTTATTGCTCCGTCTGATAGATATAAAATCATTAAGGCATTAAAACTGAGAAAGTCAGCAGGTCACGACTTAATAAATGATAAAATGATCAAAGAATAACCTCGCAATGCAACTGTTGCATTAATAGCTCTCTTCCATGCATGTTTAAGATTAGGGTATTATCCAAAGACCTGGAAAACTGCTATTATAACACCAATATGGAAGCCGAACAAATTCCCTCAAGATCTTCTTCACTATAGACCAATACGTTCGTTACTGATCTTTGCTAAAATATTTGAAAAACTTGCAAAAGCCCGTGAACGGGCTCAGGCCTACCGGCGACGTCCCTACCTCGTGTTAAGAGGGTTCATGTGGTTAGTTCGTCGACATCCTCACGCTGTATTCCGATCTTCTCAACCTGAGAAGTGAATTTTCTCATTGTCACACAGCAACATGTATTGCGACATTGCAAGGAAAACGCACACTATAATCTTGCCTCACTGGGAATCGAACCCGGATTCGCGTAGTGGAAAGTTAGTATTAACAGCAATAAATCAAGAACACAAATCATCAAAGTCGGCGTGCCACAAAGTTTCCCACTATCTCCCTTATAGCAATATATATGTATATATTGCTATAGTAGACTACCCAGAACTGACATACTCAGAAATAACACTTTATGCGGAAGATATGGCATTATATAATGCAAATTCAAATATTACCACCGCTTGTAAAGATCTCCAGTCGGGCTTAAACGAATTTGTCAAATTGAGAATGAAATGAAAAATTGCCATGTACAGTCTAAAATATTCTCATTAAGAAAAAAAATCAACCACGACACATTCAAATTATAATACTGCAATTTCATGGCTTCATAATGCAACACAATAATAAAACTCGTAAAATATCTGGGTGTATTACTAGATCAAAAATTAAAATGGAAAAAACCACATTCAAGAAATAATGAACAGAACGTAAGGAAAAATTAACAAACTTTATTCCATAATAAATAACAAGTCATCGCTAAATCTGGAAAGCGCATTATCTAACTTTAAAACGATAATAGGTCCTTCATTAACTTACGCCTGTCAAATTTGGAACAATATAGCAAAACATACCTGAAAAAACTAAAAATCATTTAAAACAAGTGCATAAAAAAGTCGTACAAGCCCCTTGGTTTATTTCAAGTAAGTAAATACACAAAGAGCTAAACATTCCTCCCATTAATGAATACATTCAACCGATGAGCAACAGATTTTTCACCCTTCACCTTGTACATGTGCACAAATATTTAATCTAGGCAAAAATGCTTCTATTTCAATCCACATTATCTCCCGATACCCCCAAAACTCATTTAACCCACCGTAAATTAGAATCAATTCAATTTCCCCATTAACAACTTCAAGTAACTAAATATAAAACTTAAAGAGCCCTGTGGTCCTCCTCAAATACTGTTGAAAGTCAAAATTATGTGTATTAATAAATTGAAAATTAAAACACCTGGGAGGCATATTATGCCGAACAGGCAGAAAATACACTTTTTAAAAAAGATGCTTTACAAAGTTTGCCGTTCACGGAAAGTAAAATTTTATTTACAAAGCTATGGCTAGTGCATTAATGTGTTTCACTGCTAAAAACTTTCCTTTCTGGCGAGACACTAAAATTTTATTGGATAACGCATATGCCAATAATAAAATTGAAAATTGTCATATCGGGTTCAACCTTAGTATCACAAAAATAATAAACTTACTTGGAGTAGGTTGGAGAATTTCTGTGCTACACGCGATACTGCTGTTACGCTATTTATGAAATTAAACTATTAAATGTATCACAAAAATACACTTTGCAACTCTATTTTATAATTCTGTTTGTTTTTTTAAATTTAAAGTTTACAGAATTACATAATATAGCGGGATTAACGTATTTCCGTTAGACAGCTGCGACAATATTTGGGATTCTTCAGGCCCTCTCACCTCATACGAGGTCGATCTCGTGCGTACATTAATTACTTCCCTGCCAACATTTTCGGGACACGTGTTCTTCTACTGCCTTTATTTATTTAATTTAATGTATTCACTTCTTTAACGCCAAAAACAGTTAAAGACTCAGTGTCGTTCCATGTGAAATATGTGCACGGTTTCTTAAGCTCTCGGTTCTAAATCATATACATAAGAAGCTGAATTATGAATACAGGTAGCAACGAGGATTTTTGGCAATAATTTGTATGACAATATTCGCTCCAGCGTAATACAAAGTATTTGCAAAGACCAATAAGCAGCAGATTTTGGTTATTATTCTTAGTGCATTACGTGAAGGAATCGACTTACTGCCGCGATAAAATGGAAAACAATTATTTGAATATCTACATTCCCTACAGAGCTCACGAAAACGTGAGCAGATAATGAAGCTACATTTATGTCGAGAAGCAAAGCAAGCTTTCCTGTGCTAATTGCGTGCCTTCACCCGTGACAACTGGCGCCTAATTCGCACGGCGGTGTGGAAGAGTAAAAACAAAGCGCGCAATGTTGCAGGTTGCAATCACCACCGTTCGCTGGCGTACTTCGCGGAGTCCGTGAGGTCGGAGGCGGGCTTCTGGGGCTGGCCGTGTGGAGGCGTCATGCACTACATACTGGGACTGTGCCCGCCTCGCGGCACTCCATGGAAGATGGGCGAGGACGTGGATCAGCGGTAAGAAACTAGGCCTGTTCAACACACACATACTCACAGACAGGCTATCAGACAGGCAACCAAACAGACATATACTCTTGTTCAATATGAATTAGCACTGAACATACTTTTATTATGTGTTATTAATTTATATTACCAGACTTTTTATTTGAACATTTTATTCGCATTTTTTAAAAAATTTTTGACACAAATCCAAGTGGAGTTACTGTATGATATATGTGCCAAATGAAACATTAAGCCATATACTGATCTACGTTAGAATATTTGCAAACCATGTTTTTCGTAGAATAATAGTAGTATGTGTTGACTTTTTGTTATCATATGCGTACAGTACATGATAGCAAGCAAACCTTTTCATGGAATAACGGTCTATGTTACCAGTCTTCTATTAATAATTCATTATAAGAAGGAACATGTAACATTTCTGCTCATCATTTTAAGTTCATAAATTGTAACATAAACCGTTATTCGATTCAACGCTTGAAATATTGAATGTCACCTGGTTTTGCTTTCAGACAATAGATTTGACCCTTCTGACGTTGAACACAATATTTTAAATACAAAAATCATAACGAAATTAAATGTATTATAAAACACATCTAATTTGAACTATACGAAATCATTACATTTTTATACACTACATTATCCAGAACACAGCAGCCAATCTCTACCAATTCCAAACACACACACACAAACACACACACACACATATTGATAATACGTAAGGGATTATTGATCTCCATAAAATCATTTAAATCTGCTTGCGAGTTTTGATGGGGAAAATTGAAAATATACCTCGCCGAAAAGGCGAACAAATATATAATCTTAGAATCGAACATAGCGATATCGAATATAAGGAAAAATATGTAATATAGAAGAATATATCGATAATGATACCAAGCACACACTATTTTCTCGTCCTACTTGCAACGGTTACTTTCTGCTGTAGCTCCTTATCTCGGAAGAGACCGAATAGGAATCGTAAAAAATAATAGTGACCAATTAAATAACACCAACTTTTTGGGACAAACTTGGTTTCATGAAAGGGTAACTAGTGATTCAATATTAGCACCTACTTGCTCGTGTTATTTGGAGTTATATAGTACTATCATAATTAGAACCCGGATATGTATGCAAATGCACATTTTTTGTTAATTGTTACTTGCAAAATGATGACAAATCTTTACGAATCTGCCTGTTTAGAGCATTTCTGGCGAATTTTATTTTGCATATTTTGTTATTTTTTCTGTTACTGCAAATTTATGCGTATCCACCAAAATATTTGGAGAAATTAGGTAAAAATGGTAATAATTTATTAAAAGTACACCTCTTGAAATTGATAAGTTATGGTTTGTAGTTATCATGGTTCATGGAACAGTTCACCAGTCACCATAAGGAACAGAATATCTCTTTAGCCTCAAAACTTTTGCCAAGGAATGTAGATCTAGTGTATTTTGCTTATACCACGTGCGCGAACATAGATAAAGTTGAATTTTGGGCGGTGGGCTAAGCATGGGGCGTCACGCTCAGGGTCTTGGACTTGAATGGAATATAAACCCCTGATAGACCGTGGTTTCTTTGTCTGTCAGGAATCGTTTTCCAGTAACCGAGAGATTATGCGTAGCCATCACAGCACCATGTGCTCGATAGACGTCAGTTGGGCCTATCAAAAATTACTGAACATATTTTTCTTCTGATGATTGTTTTGTTCATGTTTTAAAGAGATAAAACCGTCGTAACATAATTCAAATTTTTCTACAATTTTTTTGCTTTGCATTTTAATGATAAACATTTATTTCCTTGTGAATTTTACACTGCATATTCATTGCAGGTTTTAAAGATTTGTCGTGCATATTATATGGCATATTTGAGGCATTTTATTGTTTAGAAATCTGGGCTCTAATTACAATACTGGGCCAATCGATTCGAAAAATTCTCACAATTGAATTCGATTGCACATTTTCGCTGCCAGCGATGGGTTACTCCCCTTGAGGATCGTCTCATTAACACAATACATGCCTGTGCTTATGCTTCAACCTGCGAAATAATTTGCCCAGCCTGAGAACTGAACAGAAGCGCATAGGTTCAATGCGCTAACCAGTGTGCTAATGAGACCGTTCGACAGCTGAGCGGCTTTGAGAAAAATAAAAAACATGACATTAATTTTCGAAAATTCGAAACTTTTAATGAAAATTTAACTTGTGTCATAGAAAAGGAAATTCTGCCAGTGTATTGCGCTCTATCCTTACTAAAAATGTAAATAAAAAGTTGGTATCTGTTTTTAGGAATATCTTATTTACGTGTTTGTGGAAATTTGCCACGATTTCACAATTACCCTAATAATTAGAATGAAAAGTACCTGAACTGATATTAGATTAGATTAGATTTATTAATAATTCTGCAATTAAGTGTAAGAACTTGGTGGCAGAATACAC